AGCCTACAGGCAAACAAAGAAACAAGTGATTGATGCTGTTGTGAGAAAGTGGCTGTGAGAAGTGTGCAGGGGTGCAAGGGCCACAGACGGTGCTCACTGTGTGAACTGTGGCCAGTGACCAGGCCAGTGTTGCTTTATTCACACACTTTGTAGTCACTTGATGTAGAGACTCACAGCATCACCTCGGCCTCTTCCAACACTTCCTCTTGCCTACTGCTTGTCCCCACTTGCCTCCTCTCCTAAGTGTCACTTCCCCTGGTCTCTCTCTCTCACACACACACACATACACACAAACACACACACACAGAGGGAGAGAGAGAGACAGACATACAGACAGAGAGACACAGAGAGAGAGAGAGAGAGTCACTTCTTGCCAGCAGCTTTACCTCCCTATAGATGCCAGTGTCAAGATGAAACACAAAGCACAATCTTCACCACCCTCTACACTGAGTTTTCCTGTGGGCTCAAGCGTGTCAGAGATTGTGCGGAGAGGGCTGTGCTCAGATCTGTTCACAGTGTTGCTCTGAGTTATACTCAATGGCACCTAACAAGAAGTGGGGAGGGAGTTGTGCTGCCATTTCTAAGGCAGGTGGTTTGAGATCCCCCCCCCCAGCTGCTCCAAGACAGAAAGATGGACAATCTCTTCTCACATGACTTAGAGCCTTTCAAAACCCACTGAAGGTTAGCTATGAGTCAGTTCCAACCCAACAGCACATAACAACAACTTTTTTAGCTTTAAAAGCAGATGAGTTGGCTGTTTCAAATTAAGTTTCTTTATCAATGATTCGGAATTAAAAAATTCGTTACATGTCCCTGTGGCTTTTTTTTAAAAAATGAACTATCCACTCCCTTCATCACTAATTAGAGTATGCCGAACATAATTTAAAGTTTTCTTGGTGACTTAGGTCGTGACTGTGGACATCAATAACATGCCAAACATCACGATCTGAGAAGTGTGCTAGCCCTAGGCTGCTGTGCTTTGAATTCCTGTATCTGCTTTTCATAATTATTTCCTTTCCTTCCTAAATGTTTCCTGTCAAATAATAACAATAACAACTACTTTAATAGTGTTATAAGCACTGATGTCGTAAGTATTATATGTGTATTAACTCATTTATTTCTCACACGGTTGCTCCTATTAATTAATATCTTCAATTTGTGGACCAGGAAACTGAGGCTCAGGGAATTAGCGGCATTAGCTGGAACCACATAGTAGGAAGTGAAGAGGCTGACACCTGAACCCAGTCAGTCTAATTCCAAAGTTGGTGCTTCTAATCACTGCAGATCACTCCTGTGACCCTACCTTCAGCTGTCCTTCTCCCACTTCTAAATTGCTACTTTAGATTGCCTACAGGATTAAGAAAAGCAATAGCCAAGATTATTAGAACTCTGTGTAAAGGAAAAATAGATATGAGATGGGAATGGGGGCCAGGGGTTGGGGATGCTGGCTGAAGAACTCAGGCAACATAGTCAGGTGTGTCAGAGATGGTGAGGCTGGCACAGAATGGGGTAGGGCGAGGCTGACTCAAGTTAGGGTATGATTCAGACCTGTTGTCTATAGGGTTGCTACGAGTCATACAACGTGCACTTTTTAGAGTAGATAAACCCTGTCTAGGTAAGGTCAAAGAAGGGAGAGGGAAAAAAATGTCTTCTGAACGGACTCATTTACTTATCTTCTTGTCTTTGCTCTGTTTTGAACCTCAGATTTTGAACCTAAGACTGACCATAGATAGTCTTTGACCCCAGGCAGAGTCCCTCTGGAAACCTGGCCACTGACCTCCTCATCTGCCTGGCCTGTAGAATGGATGCTTCTATGAGCAGCCTTGAGTGGGGGTTCCTGAGGCCAGTATCCTATCCTACTATCCTAGAAGGGATATGACTGACCCCCATGTAGCTCAGGTAGGTGCAGTAATCCTGACAGAGCATCTGGGATTACAGGTGTTCATCTCTCTTGCTCATTGCCCAAACTTGTCTTCCTTTTGAGAAAAGCTGTTTTGCTCCCATAATTCTAACTTATCTGACATATTTTGGGCGTGTTGCAAGGAGGGACTGGTCCTTGGAAAGGGACATCATGTTTGGCAGAGTGGAGGGGAGGCGAAGGAGAGGAAGACCTTTGGTGAGATGGATCGATTCTGTGACTGGAGCGGTGAGAATAAGTGTGTTTGAGATGGCTAGGTTGGCACAGGATAGAACAGCATTTAGAGCTCTTGTACATAGGGTTGCTATGAGTCGCAAGCGACTCGATGGCACATAACAACAACAACAACCTTTACATTTGACTTAAAATACACTTTAAAAAAAAAAGAAAAAGAAAAACACTGCAAAGAAGCCTTTTCCACTTGTCAGGAATATTCAAGCTTAGGGGAGTTAGAGAAGGTTTTAAAAATTGAACAGGAAGCCTTGTTTTTGTGTTAGTCTAAAACATAAACCTACAGATTCTGGGTGTCTTCTGGCTTGCCTCTGGTTCCAGGCCTGCAGGCACCTTCTCAGAAGACCCCATATCACTATTTATAATCCAGAGAGCTAAGGAGGCACCAGGTGTGGAGAGGGAGTTGGAGAGAGGCTGACTTCCATCAAACTGTTAACGTGAGACATGAAGGCAAAGGACACAGCCACGGAGGACTCTGGCAGATCTGACCAGCTTGTCATATAGCAGAAAAACAAGTCAATGGGTAGAAGGGGAATTAAGCCCATCTTCTCTCCATTTATTTGGAAGCCAGAGAGAAGTAGCAGGAAACAGTGTCCAGTGCCATTCCAGAGGTCTCCACTCCTAACTAGGGATGGGACAGCCCTGTGGTCAACTAACACGTGGGCTCTAAATCCAAAGCACATGGCTTCCAGTCCCTTCCTTGTCCCTCACTAGCCGTGAGTCCCGGGGTAAGTTAATTCCTCTGAGCTTTAGTTTCCTAATCGGAAAAGTCCAGATAATAAGACTATCCACTTTTACTTGAGAATTAATGTAAACTGCACAGTCCAGAATTTACCCCACCGGAAGCACTCAGGGTAATCCCCAGTCCTCACACATACCAACAAGGTAACTAGTATTATCAATTTCTTTTTACAGAGGAGGAAGCAGCACAGAAAGGGTTTCTAATTTGTCCTGAGTCACAGAGCTTACTAGTGAGTACAGAGAACAGGGGTTTGAAGCTCTGTGACCACTGTTGTAACAATGGGAGTGGGAGGCAAGGGTAAAGTGAAAAGTCTTTCATCTGCCAACTTTGCATTGCTCACCAACAGAGGCTAAGTCCCAGGCTGAGGCCTGCAGGCACAGAGAGGCTACACGCAGCCCTTAAAGTGTCAAAAAGGTAGAGGCAAACCAGGACCACCATGACCAAGTTAAGAAGTATGAAATACAGTTTTTACAGAGCACCTTCAGGAAAGCAAGGAGCCGCATTTGGTTAGCATAAGAGGGTTGGAGTAAAAGCATTTGCTGTTAACACTGAAAAGACATTAATTAGAAGAGGGCAATCTCTTTTTGCAGATGTCAGACCTGGCCTCACTCTGTAATGGGAACTAACTAGAGAAATATATTCTTAGCAATAAAATGTTAGGACTCCTCATCAAAAGTGGCTATAATGAGTGATTCACAACACAAAGAAGATCCTTGCAGACCATCTGGTCCATAATATTAGCCTTTCCAGTCAGCCAGTACCGTGTGGGCACAGACATGCACTCTGTGCCCGCCAAGGAAAGTCACACCGCTGGACCTGTCCACTTCTCCAGGCTTGTGTCACGACACTTTTCTCTTTAACCACACTGGTCTCCTCAAAAACTCTTGGCGTTCTTTTCTCTGGCTGACTCTTTCCTATACCTGGAAAAATTCCACTCAACTCCACATTGTAAGCTAAAATATCAACTCTTTGGAGAAAGGATGCTCTTAAAAAAGATGCTCTCACACCCTTTTCGCTCTCTCTCTCTCCCGCTTCCCACCCCCTTTATTTTCTTTTTTTTTTCTTAAATGTTATTAATTTTAATGAACATTTACAGAGATTTGGGGTTTCCATTCATTCCCCTTTATTTTCATCACCGGCTCCCCTTTATTTCCTAGATGCAGGTCTGCTGGCTTCTGACTGAGCTTGGCCAACAGGAGGTACAAGGAACAGCTGGAAGTCCAGAGAAGTATAAAGCCAGGGTTGCTTCCACTTCCACCTCTGTCCTGAAAGACATTTTGAGCTGCTATCTCTCTAGCAGCTCCATTGGATATAAATGGGCAATCTCCTCCTGTTCAATTTATAGCCTACAAAAACCAGCTGGGGGGTCAGCTACGAGTGGGTTCTGACTCAACGGCAATGAACTGAGTGACTGATTTCTCCTCTGCGGGACCAATTCCCAGCAGACAGGCCCACTACATGTCAGCTTCTCCAGCACCTCTCTCCACGGTCTCTCCCACCTTGGAATGGAAGACCCTTCCCACTGATCTCTTCTCGGCTCTCTACCACTTGTGTAACCAATTCCCCACATTTATTTCCAATATCCAAGTGGTTTCTGGTTAGAACTTCTAATTTCATTCATTTGCCCACTTAGTATTGTCTAGATTCGCAGTAAACTCCACAAGCAGGGACTGTATCTGTCTTGTTTGTCACTGTGTTCCCAGAACCCAGCACAGCACTTGGCCGACAGAAAGCTGAGGACCAAACACTTATCACATGATGGATGGAAAGAAATCACATTGATGTGTCCCAAGAAATCCGCACATTTTCAAAAAGAAAATTGAGATGCAATTTGGAAATGGTGGGGGTTTTTTGTGCACATGATTTGTTGTTAAAGTAGCAACAGAGAGAAAGTGATTTTGAGCTTTTTAAGGGACCTCCTTCAATAAATAAGAGGTGACTTAAGTGGTCTTGATTAAGAAATAAACAGAAACACAGATGTGAGGCCCCACTCAGCTCCCTCCAGTCCCAGGAGGGTTCCCATCAGGCACCTCATCTCAGGACACACACTCCCAGCTGGTCTGGCTTTGTCTAACTTTGTGTCCTGAAAGCTGAGTCATGGGGACAAACCTTTTGGCCGTCTCAATGGACTTCTGCTCTGCCAGCTCCTTCTGCAGCTCTCTCTCCTTGGCTTCCTTCTGCCCGATGGGGCAGTCCTCAGGGACGGTGAAGAGGGACAGGGCATCTTTGCTGTCCTCTTCTCGCAGCACTTTAGCAAACACCTTCTCTGCCAGGAGCCGGACTTGCTCGTCCACTTCAGATATGTTCAGCTTGGGGAACTGACGTGGCATCTCGGCTAGCGAAGAAAGCACAGGCATCAACGTTAATGAATGACAGGATGGCCTGAGTCCCCAGTTTGGGGCAGAGGAAGCACCTCTGCTCCCCCATCCCTCTCCTCCACCCTGCCGTTTGTCCTTGGGGTCAGCTGTCAGATCAGGAATTCCCCAGACCAAATCGAGCATGCCAGTTTCAAAATTCTCAGTAAGTGCATGGTCACTGACATTTGTTGAGAAAGCAAGTGTCCGCAAGTCAAAGAAGGACCTGCCCAACTAAGCATGCTTCCATTTCCCAGACGCAAGGAGTCTGCAGCAGGCAGCCCTGGGCACCCGGCTTTGTCTCTTCTACTGAGAAGAGCGAGGGGAGAACTCAGAAACCTCCCTCCTCTGCTGTAAGGAGGCTGAGGTTACCACTGATGCAACAGTGATGAAAGCTCACTCCTCCACTTCACAGGGGGTAACACTGAAGCCCAGAGGGGTTTACCCATCAGCCTAAGATCTCACAAGATCACAGCAGAATCAATGGGCATCAGAGCTACTTTCTTCATTACAAAAACAATGCCATTTGCAGGAAAGAAGGACTTCACAGTCGTGCTACTCTCCAAATATTTGAACAAGGCACAGCAAATAAAGGGTTAGGAACAAGGGACATTCTTCACTGCCACAGTCCAGCCAGAATTTAACTTCTCCAAAGAAGCTTTCCTTTTAGTTCTCTGCATACTGGCTCCTTACTATCAGACAAACAAAAACTCAATTCATTGTGAGCTGGAAGCTGCTCATAGCTGAAGCTCTAAACAACTTTCAGAGTCTGTAAATCTCATGGGAGGAGCCTGCTCATCTTACTCCCTCAAAACAGCTGGTGGATTTGTACCACTTGCCTTACCCACTAGGCCACCAGAGCTCCCCCATACTATCAGTAAGGCATTCTAATAATCTGATTTCTTCCTTCTTGTCTTCTCTAAACACACACTTACATAGTACTTATATCATCTCCTCTGCCAAGTGCTTTTATACATCGTAACTCAGTTAACTCTATTCATCTCCTTTTACAGGGAAGAAAATGGAAGCATAAAGCAGTAACTTGCCCACATTTTAACAAGTGGGAAGAGATCTGTGCTGTTCTTAGCCGTTATCTGCCCCATTTCCTTTCCCCTGCTTCTTGAGTCTCTGTTCTGGGGTTGAACCCAGGCACCCGCTCCCGACCTCACATTCTTCACTGCTGCATTAAGTGCTTCTCTCCGTCTATCTGGGTGTCAGGGCAGGGTCTCCTCACTGTCTCTAAAGACATCATTGTGGAATAGATGAAAGCTGTATCCTTTAACAAGCCCCCTTCAACAAAAGTGGATCTGTAAGGGAAGTCCACTGCCTACCTATTACCACAGCTATCTCAAGGCTGGTCTCAAGAGAGAATTGGTTCTACTGGTCGGTCACACAGACAGACGATGGAGGTAAGATAGTGCCCAGCTGCTTTCCAACAGAAGAGAGGAAGCCAGTATTGGGGGGAGGAGGGAGTCTTGGAGTAATCTTGGGACAGTCGTTTCTGCACCTCACAGTCTTCTCAGTGAGATAAAAGGATTGGACAAAGTGCCCTCAAAGGTCCTCCCAGTTCTAACCGCCACACATCTGGGTACCAGGGAGGTTTCCGGTGTCCCCTAGGCTGCTGTTCTGGCTTCTAGGCTGTATGTGGTCTAATTCATGACACAGGAAGGAGGAAAAAGGCTAGTAACAGTTGTCAAAGCTTTGTCTGTAGTCCTTTGGCCGTGAAACCAATTTCCTTCTTCCCTCTACACATAGAAGTGTGTTTCTTCCCTGGGCTTCTCTGACCCTAAGGGGGTGGAGGGCAAAGGAGGCAGGAACAGTGAGGAGAGAGATAAAGCAACTGTGAGTCTCTAGCTGCAGACACCTCACCAGCAAATGCCTTTCTTTGGAGAAAGCAGTGAGGAACAGAGCTGACTGTGGCGATTTCCACATCCTGATAGCAGAGAGAAGGGACAGCTGGAAGCCATCAAGTTTAGGCTCAGAGAAGAAGGTGACAGGGGACAGAACTGCTAAGAACAGCACAAAGAACTAGAAACACAGAGGCATCATCAGGTTGGAACAGAGCTGGACTGGACCCTCAACCACTCATCTCTAAATCATTGGGTTAAATCCATCATTCCTAAATCTCAGAAAAAAACACTGACAGACCCCACAGGGCAAAGGGCAGCAAGAGCCAGAAAGATCCACACTGCTTCATCAAATGTCCCAACTTTTACTTTTTTATGGCAAAAATTTAACAGAAGGGGGAGGAAAGCCCACAGAGATGTTAACATGAGCTCTTTATAGAAACAACTTTAAAATGTTCAAAGGAACATGTATTCATTTGGGGGCAGGGGGATTATAAGCAACCAGAAATTCTAATTCCAAGGACAGTGTAATCACATAGAAAACATTTTATGAAATAACAGTCATTAGGAAAATGAATACACAAAAAATATATCTATTATTCAATTACAACAGATGCAACCAATGTATGGGAAAAAATGCATTTGGATGACATGAAAATATATCTGTTTATGAAAGAAGACTGCAGGAGAGACCCTCAAGATGGCTATCTGAAAAAAAAAAAAGATGGCTATCTGGCAGGACTGTTTGTGTAAGACAGGCTATCTTGTTTTTCTAATTAATGCTATTTTAATAGTTTCTAATAAATGCAAAGAAGATAAAAAAGAAAAATTAACAGACTTGATTAAAAAAGAAGAGGAGAAGGGGAAATGAAAAACAAATCAAACTACTTATCCCATTAGTTTTGGGCAAATTAATATGTCTCCCATCTATTCCACACCAGGAAGGGGCCACTCCACAGGAGTCTACATCACTTAGATCACTCTGCGCTAGCTTTACTCTGGCTGGGAGGTGATTAACACCACCACCACCTTCCTCTCCACTTCTACTCCACATCAGATCGCCTCAGAAATGGGCATTTGAAGGATCTGAGGGAGTTCCTTGGATGGCACACGTGTCTGCCAAATATGACTGCTAGCTAAAAGGTTAGAGGTTCTTGGAGAGCTCTGGTGGCCTAGTGGCAAGGAACTGCAACTACAATCCCAGAGGCGCACAGTTCGAATCCACCAGATGCTCTGCCGGGGAAGGAGGGACAATCTCCTCCTGTACCAGTCAGATCTGATTTGACGGTACATGCACACAAAAATAAAAATTAAAAAAAAAAAAACCAAAAAAAAAAAAGGTTAGAGGTTCAAATCCACCTACAGATGCCTCAGAAGAAAGCCCTGGTGACCTGCTTCCAAAATATCAGCCACTGGAAACCTACGGAGCAAGTTCTTCTCTGACACACATTATGATCATTCAACAGCAATTGTTTGGGGTAATTTTTTTTTATGTCCAAGAGGGTTTATTCTAGATCCTGCCATAGCAATCCATGAAACATTTTGAGCTTATTCAAGTTAAGCAAACATGATTTTCAGAATGTATCTTTCTATAAACTAGCAAGGGAGCCCTGGTAGCCTAGTTGTGCTGCCAACTCAAAAATAGGCTGTTTCAACCCACCAGCTGCTCCAGGGGTGAAAGATGGACAGTCTCCTCCTGTGTGATTTACAGCCTCCAAACACCCACTACAGGGTCAGCATAAGTTGATTTTTACTTTATTATGCACAGCAACAACAATAAAATATCAGAACTTTAACCTTTCCCAAAATGGATCTCAAATCAAAAAACCCAAATCCATTGTTGTTGAGTCAATTCCAACTCAAAGAGAACCTTTAAGACAGAGCAGAACTGCCTCATAGAGTCCCCAAGGTGCACAGAGCAGATTGCCCCATCTTCCTGGGAACAGTTGTTGGATTCAAACAGCCAAGGAGCTAGTCAGCAGTCAAGTAATTTAACCACCGCACCACCAGGGCTCCCTAACTGGTGCTCAGGAGAAGTCAATACCTACTGCCAGGAAAACAGGTCCTGAGCTCAATCACAATTCATTAAAAACTCCAGTATCAGGGGGTCGCATCCCCCACACTTTCACAGAACCCATATGAATCTGCTACTATTTAAACAACCAGTGGAGAATCCATCCCACATCTTAGACTGGACCCTGCAGCCACACTCACACTCGGGGATGCAGCCACACATTTTCTGGATGTCCTGAGCAACAGCTCCCCACCACAACCACCACTCCTTCCCATTGAGAGCACTCTTCTTTCTCACACCCACATACAGGCCTGAGCATGCTCCCCCACCAGCAGCGGAGTTTCAACTCCAACTCCAGCCGCCCGCTCAGGGCTGGCCATTAACTGTGAATTTACTGGTATCAGTCAGCTAGCAACAGTTTATCTCATTACACACACACACACACACACACACACACACCATCCTCCATTCAGCCTGAAAAACTGACCCAGGACTACAAGGCTCTAAAGCAACACCACTTCCAGCAGACAGCAACTTTTCCTAGTGTCACAGCCCTTCCAGAAAGGAAGCACAGTGCCACTGATGTCCCCACCTTACACAAGGTCACCGTCCCCTGTTCTTTTCAGGCTCCCATCAACAGAACCCACAACACAGACCTGAGCCTGGAGCTGGCGTCTCCATGACTGTGCTTGAGGATGCCACACAGGGAGGCCCTGGGGCCGAGGTACCGCGTGCTGGCCGACAGTAAGCTGAGTCAGTGTGGAAGTACTGCTAGCTGGTTCCTATCTGCGCTGCTGCCGGGGTGGGAGGTCTCTGCTTTGCATATCTGTGAGCAGCAGTGAGCGGAGAGCAGGAAAAGTCTGAGCTGGAAATTCTTCTCAGAGTATGAAATGCAAATGGAAAATTTCCAAGATTCCTCAAGGCCACAGGTAATGCTAGCTATCCCAGGCAAAATGACTGTTGGGTCCTGAACATGAGCCTCATCAAAACCTAGAAATGCAAGCCGCTGCTGCCCCCCCCCCCAAAACACGACATGTTTAACCGCCCTGACCAACCACAGGAGATAAGCCACAGCTCCCACCAACGCTCAGCTGCCTCCTGAAAGCCACAAGATACCATCACCTTTCTGCTTCCGTTTGGAAGCCCACTTCAGGCCCAGCCTGGCAATGGGTGCCTCTTAACCTATGCTATTGATGGCAACAGTCTTCCTTGTCACCCTTCAGAAGGACCCCAAGAGCCACATTCATGTCAAAGCACCCAGAACCAGCAGGTGAAGCTCTGAGTCTGGGCACTAATACAAGACTCTCTCCCCCTCCTCTAAAGGAAGAGGGGACCATGAACTACTCCCACCCTCCCAGACAGGCTGGAGACATAAAGAAGCCCCAGCGCAGAGGCTCAGGCAGGCTGAGGCTGGCTAGGATGGAGGGCTGCCTGCCCTTGCCCCATACTACCCTTTCTTTACTAAAAGATGCCTCAGGTAGCAGGTGCTAGGACCAGGTAAACTCTCCCAAGGCCCCTCACCTGCCTACCCGGCCCTACCCTTTATTCCCTCCCCTTCTCACTTCTCTCCCACGTGGGCCTCCAGCGCTGAGCAGCCCCTTGAGCTCTGAGAGTGGAACCTGGTTCAAGTGACCTGGAGAAGCTGTTCTTTAAAACCAAGAGCAAGATGCGCTAAAATAGCATCACAGGGCACAAAGTGCTAGTTTTCCTCTGCCCTTTAGGGAAAGGACAGTGCTGTGTGGGAAGGCTCAGAACAGACACACAGCTTCACAGTGACTTAGACTAATAATGTGGGTCTGGGAAAGAACCGTGAGCAAAATAGCTATTTCTGGGGTCTGTTGAAATCCTGGGGAAAAGAGCCCAGGAAGGCAGGGTCAGTTGTTTACCGGGAGGCCAACTCTCGCCCTGACTTGGGCCTGAGTCACCTCCCCATGTCCAGTGGTGAGGTTGTGCTTGCCTAAACCACATCATAATTCCTGAGAACGCACAGGGCGGGATTACAGGCTTGACACATGATCCTCGGCTGCTTCTGGGCTTTAGCTGCCCAGAGATGACAGCCCACCTGTCCTCACAGCTGTTTCATAAACAGTGCAATCAGCAGGCTACAAGCAACCCAGAGGGAGGGTAATATTTATTCATTAAATAATTAAACAGGTTACAGCATTGGGGGGGGAGGTGGAAATCAAAGCCTTCAGCATTGTCTGGGAGAGAGGAGGGGCAAATGCTCCCTTTCGCGGAAGTGTTTTGGTTTGGGGGTTAGTGGGGGTTTTCTATAGGGGGAAAAAGGGCTGCAATGGGACATCCTAGTCTATGAGTCTGAAAACATAGCTGGGCCCAACACATTCAGGGAGATAAATTCTGCCCCTTTAATCAGCCCCTGGAACACTTTAGGCTAAGTAAGTATTTCCCAAAATGCAATCTGTGGAACATAAAAGGTCAGGAGGCTTGAAAAAATACCACAAACCACAGTCCCTCCTAGGGATTCATGTATCAGCTGCCTAACTTTATTAACCCAACACATTTAGTTGACCCTTGAACCCCATCATACAAAAAAAAAAAAACCAAAACCCACCAGAAAAAAAAAAACAAACACAAAAACAAAGAACACAGCGCTTGATTAATATCTTGTTAATATCATTTTGGCAAATGTCTTTCACTTTAAGTTTTCCTTTTCCAGCCTATACAAGGCTGCCTTCCCAGAGCTCGGTTTAGGTTTCCTGGCAAAGGCCCCAACCGTGGGTGTGTGACCCACCCAGGTCCAGACAGAGACAAGTAATGCTGCTAAGACAACACAAGTAGGAACAATGAGCAAGGACTGGCTGAAGCCAACGGGATAGAAGAGCCTCTGGAACACTGGCAGCTAAAGAAGAAATTATGGCTCTGTCCCAGGATATCAACCTCTGCTCAAGACTCCAAGATCCAACCTTGAAGTTATCTCTGCTTCTTATGGCCTAGGAGCCTCCTTGAGCATGTCTTCCAAGCTCAAAAATAGTCTTATTTTACGTGGACATTAAGACAATCTCTGTAACCAGGCCCAAGGCCCAAGGCCCGCATCTCCCAGATACCTCTGCCCAGAAGTCCAGACTATAATACCTTTTCTCACTTACTTACTAACAATCTCTTTCAAGATCTTGAAAATCTGACTAGAAGGGAGACATACGTGTTTCCATTCCCAAGAAAGGTGATGGATCAGATGTCTGATGGACAGAATGTGGAACTTATCGACCCTATCACTAATACCACATGCAAGCAAAATATTTCTGAAGATTATTTAAAAAATACTAGAGCAGTACATAGACAAAGACCTGTCCAAGGTGGATTTAGAAGAGGCCATGGCACCAAGGATATCATTGCTGATGTTAAATGGATCCTGGCTGAAAGCAAAGAATACCAGAAGAATGCCTATTTGTGATTTATTGACTATGCAAAGGCATTTGACTATGTGGGTCTTAATAAATTATGGCTAACACGGAGAAGAATGTGTATCACAGAACACTCAATTGTGCTCAAGCAAAACCTGTACATAGACCAAGAGGCTGTTGTGTAAACAGAGCAAGAAACAGTGCTTGGTTAAAATTAATAAAGGTGTGTGTCAGGATTATATCCTTTCTCCATACTTCTTTAAATTATATGCTGAGCAAATTATTTGAGAAGCTGAACTCTATAAAGAACAATGAGGCATCAGGATAGATGAAAGAGTCATTGATAACCTAAATTATGAAGATGACACCACCTTGTTCACTGGAACTAAGGACTTGAAGTGCTTGCTACAGAAGATCCAAGAACACAATCTTCAGTATAGTTTGCATCTCAACATCAAGAAAACAAAAATTTTCACCACTGGACCAATAGGCAACATCATAATAGATGGAGAAAATATGGAAACTGTCAACAACTTCATCTTCCTTAGATTCAGGCTCGACACCCTTGGCACCAGCAGTCAGAAAATCAGGAGATATATTGTACTGAGAAAGTCTGCAGTCAGGGACCTCTCCAAATTATTGAGGAGCAATGATATCAGTCTGAGGATTAAGGTATGTCTGATGCATACGATGGTCTTTTCAATGATTTGCTATTAATTTGAGAGCTGGACAATGAATAAGGATGACAAAAGAATGGATGCCTTTAAAGTCTGGTGCTGGAGAAGAGTGCTGAATATCCCATGGACTGGCAAAAGAACAAACGTGTATGTCTGGGAGACAGTGCAGCCAGAGTGCTTCTTGGAGGCAAAGATGGCAAAGCTTCATCTTACATACTTTGCATAAGAGAGTCTATTCATTGGAGAGGGACATCACGCTTGGAAAAGTGGATCAGTGAAAGAGAGGAAGATCCTCAACCAGATGAACTGACATGGTGACTGCAACAATAGACTCAAGTCTGTCTGAGGTTGACTGTGAGGCTGGCACAGGATAGGACAGGTTTGGATCTGTTGTTCATGGAATTGCTACAGGTCCTACTTGACTCGAAGGCCTAACAACAACAACACCTATCAATTCAAAGCTACCAAGTCGATGCTAACTCACAGCAACCCTGTGGTACAGGAAGAACTGCCCATAGAGTTTCCAAAGCTATAAATCTTTAAGAAAACAGGTTGTCTCAACTTTCTTCTGTGAAGCAGTTGGTGGGTTTGAGCCACCTATTTTTTGTTAACAACTGAGTTTTTAAACACTGCACTACTAAGACTACTCTTATCACTTATGTTGTTGTTGTTGTTTTTCATTTCTGTTGAGTCAGAGCTGACCTTCCAGCAACTTTTCAGAAACTGTAAATTGAACTAGAGGAGAATGTCCATCTTCCTCCTGCAAATCCTCTGGTGGATTCAAACCACTTTCCTTTGGGTTGGCAGCACAACTCCATAACCACTTAGCCAGTAGAAGGATAGAATTAAATTATATCCCATCAAGAAAGAGATCTAGACCTTCTCTCACTCAAAAATAAAAAAGGAATGGCAGGGAATGTCCCACAGGGGGTCATTTCCCTCCTTGTTTCTAAAGTAGGTGTGATTCAGAGTTGGGCAAAAGGGCTAAATATCAGCTCCATGATAGCCCTTACCTGTCTCATTCATCAGGGTTTATTTATATGCCTGAGACTTGATGGTATTCAATAATTATGTGTTGAGTAAGTAAATGTGTAAGATGAATGCATGAATGAGTCAAGTTAATGAATGTACTTACGGTAATTTCAAGAGTCACTATGTGGACTCAAGCCAGGCTGTTGGCATTTGAATTCTGGCTCCAACACTTAGTTCCATGGCCTTGGGCAAGTTACTAAACATCTCTGTTTCTTAACATTAATCCCTTTAAAAGGGTTGCCATGACAATTAAATTAGTTAGCATTTTAAAGTCATTTGACGTGTTTAAAATAGTACTTGGTACATAGTATTTGCTTCATAAGTATCATTGACAACACCACTGTCACTGTCATCATCATTTCTTATACAGTACAAGAGAAAGTCTAATTGGAGTAAGTAGAATAAAATTTCATGTGGACACTAGATCCTTTCATTCAACATTACTTACTGAGCTCCATTATGTATCAGGCTCTCTTTCAAGCTCCTAATTGGGTGCAGGAACTAGGAAACAATGTGAAATCTCCTCTGTAATGCTATTTTTCAGTGAGCAGGCATGGTCAGGACTCCAGCTAACTGGCGGTCCTCCCATGCCTTCATCCTTTATGTAAGCATATCTCAGAGGTCCTGAGGGTTCCATTCCACACTCCGTCAATAAAATGGCAAGTCACACAATTTTTTTGGTACCCAGTGCACATAAAAGCTACATGACACATAGTCAGTGTGCAACAGCATGAAAAAAAAAAAGGTTTTAAATATTGTAAAAACTGCCAGACTGTTTCAGAGACACAAAGTGAGTACATGCTGGAAAAATGGTACCCATAGACTTGCTCAAAGTGGGGCTGCCACAAAT